ATATTGTCTACAAGTTAGACCAAGGACAACCCTTGCCAGAACCTTCACACTGTCTACAAGATAGACCAATGACAACCCTTGCCAGAACCTTCACACTGTCTACAAGATAGACCAAGCACAACCCTAGCCAGAGCTTTCATATTGTCTACAAGTTAGACCAAGGACAACCCTTGCCAGAACCTTCACACTGTCTACAAGATGGACCAAGCACAACCCTTGCCAGAACCTTCACACTGTCTACAAGCTAGTCCAAGGACAACCCTTGCCAGAACCTTCACACTGTCTACAAGATGGACCAAGCACAACCCTTGCCAGAACCTTCACACTGTCTACAAGATAGACCAAGGACAACCCTTGCCAGAACCTTCACACTGTCTACAAGATAGACCAATGACAACCCTTGCCAGAACCTTCACACTGTCTACAAGATAGTCCAAGGAAAATCTTAGCTACAACCTCCATACTTTTTACAGTAAGATGGGACATCGCAGCATGTGCAAACTGCTACCATCCAGAACTGCTCACACACATTACATTATATGTACTGATCAATCTTTTGAGAACAGATCACAGACAACCTACAAACATCAGTGATTAGGAAGGAAATTTTCATTATGGGGTTTTGCTCAATCATTAATAATTTTATGGGCCATTTCTGGCAAGAACAGGTAATAAATTTCACTTCATAAGCCATTGATACTTGTAATACACCAATAATTAAACAAAATTCTAAATTGATCACAGGTGAAAAAGCATTATATTCCTTATATTCCCCTAATCTTGAACTTCAAACAACATCAACAAATATTGCTGAACCAACTTTCAGATGGAAGTACAGTCATCCCTCAAGCTGACCCCTTCATGCTGCTGGGGATTTGCATAAACCACAAGGTAATCAATGGGCCCTATAAAGTTCAATATTTTTTTAACAAACATACGTCACAGCATCGGAAACAGCATATCAACAAACCTGCCTTGAATAATGCGAGTTCATTAATCCAGTGATTATCCTATATGGTAACAATTCATGTTTATTGAATATCTCAAGTTTTGTTTTTAATACAACCTTAATTTTCATTCAATGCGGTCTAGTGTCATATTTTAATGAATCTGTGTGTGACAGCTGGCACCAGTCTACCTTCATCTACAGCAGCTACTGATAGATTCCCTCTAGTGACACCTTGTATCAAATGGAGACATTTACTATAAGGACATATTTTGTCTTGTTAAAAGTCACATTTGTAGTAGTTTAACTATTATGTCACAATAATGTTTTTTGAGGACGAATTTGATGTTGTTAAATCAGGGTTTTACCTTGACTTACAAAGTGGGGATCCACGGAACCCCATCAATAAATTTTACGGACCCTTCTGGTGATATGATGGTCCTGTAAAGTATTCAAATGGTGAAGTGTACTGTATGTTCAGGTAATTACTTCCGAGCCTGGAATGAATGAGTGATCATGCGGACCGTGGTCATAACTGATGGGTGAAATAGCTGGTAACTACTAACTGTTGGATCGGCATTCAAGATGCTGGTGAGTCAATAATATAGGATACAACTTGAACGATAACCCTTGATACGCTGTAGGTATGTTCTCAATATTTCTCGGCATTTATGCACCCTGGATGTACATATGTGTGTTGCGTAAAACCCTGGTAAAGTGTCTATGATTCTTTGAACCTGCCACGTCCTCCAGATTGGGAACTCTCTCCTTGACAGTGTGTTTGTGCATCAGCTTACCAATGAATATGAGAACACATTATATACAGTGCAAAGCGGGTCGTGCACTACACACTATGGGTCAATTACAGTGGAAAGACTGAACAAGAAGGCCTTTGAAGTCTGTGCTTAAAGGAATGCAATTTGTGTCTCTCAACATAATTTTATACCAAGTACAGAAAACATAACACTTAATTTAGTGTCTTCATTATCACATGTTCTCATCCCTCCAACTGCAGTCTGATGAATACGCTGTGGAAACAAGAGAGGCTGGCCTTCTGAACATACCACCTGCTGATCTGATGGGCACCTGCTAGCCAGTACATGTGCACTGTTCCCCCCATCACCTGCCCCTACATACAAATGTCAGCGACTCTTTAGGCTAAACATAGCCTTACCTCCCTACCAGTACCTTCATTCTATCTATAGGAAGCTGGGCTAGTCAAGGATATCATATGTGGTGTCTCCACACTGGTACCATAGACTGTCTACAGTTAGTTGAGCTGACCTGAGGACAACTGTAGCTGGTGCACACTGGCTGTGAACTATCTTGATCCAGTGTGCTTGAAAAAGTGCCCTCCTGTTGTCACATTGCTAGTGGATCTTGTGTTGGGCCCTCAACTTCAAACTTTTATGGGTTCTTATGGCAACAATGAATTTACAGGGCTACTAATTTGTCACAACATGCAGTAATGTTGTTTTGAAACGAAGGCCTGAAGAGATAAGGTCAGCAGATGTAGCAAAGAGCTATCAGACACTTACGAATGAGACACTACAGGTTTTGCAAACTGAAATATTTTTTAAAAGTCACATTGTGGTATTGATACCGATTGATCTTTTTAGAACCAATTACTGAATATATATGAACATTGCCTCACAGACTAATCTGACATGAACAACTGGCCAAACAGGTTCTAATTTCTTGACAACTTCTTACAGCAAATGAATGTTGTTCGCCTTGACAGTAAGAAGGCCATCCTATGAATTTGTATATGAAAAAGAAATGTGTACATTAAAACATTGTGTATTATAAACATGATAAAAGCAGTTTGCATTAGAATTTAGAGCTTATCAGTTACAGGGCTAGATATATGACTAAATAACTTCATTCACTGTTTTAAATCTTTGAGGTAGATCTATTATTTGACCTAAAACCTGGATATAAACAGTGCAAACTGAAGGCAGTTCATCTGTGGTTATTATGAGTTAAACTATATTAATGTACATTCATTTATCAGCAGATACCCTGATTTGTTTATTCTGGCTACTACACTGTTGCCAAGTTCACTGAGATCTGGAAGATGCACAGATGAACAGGTCTGCCAAATAGATGTTATCATCAGCCAGACTATGTGATTATCATACCTGATAAAAGAAAACATGAGTCCCACTTTACCTTAAGGCTGGCAAAAAAGGTTGATAAGTGGAAATATCTTCCTTGGGAAAAAATATTAATGATTATCGATATGAAAATTGTGTCATCGGTAATATCATTCATAATCTATTGTGATGAAATAATGTATTAATGCACTCAGACAATACACAAAATCAGGTCTTTATTCATGGTCTGCTTCTAAATTATGTTCAGGGCTGCATTTTGTTAGTAATCCAAACCTGAATATGTCACCACTCACCAATGTGAAATATTATATTTCTTTCAGATTTTCTGGTATCTTTTTTCTATGTTACCTCTTCATATATTTATCGATATGACTGATATTCAGTTATTGATTAGCAAGCTCTGTGATCTAATTTAATAGCCAGCCCTACTTTACATAACAGATTCTGATGCACATGTATGTTCAATGCCATAGATTATTTTCATGTATTTTAGACCGGACTTTTTTATAGTGACTATATAACTTTCCTTGTTGCTTATTTGTTTGTTGACAATATATATTATGCATTGTTTTTCCAGATATGGATTGTCCATTGAGCATGATGAGTTTTTCAACTTCAGTTATTTTGCTGCAGTTGATGAAATTCCCCAGATCAGCAGTGCATGTGTTCCACTGTAGCCCGCTGTCAAACTTGACAGTATTTCGTTTCATTCAAATAGTAAATGCGTTAAGCTGCAATGTTGGATCTATACTTATTCTCATTTAACACTTTTATTCTAATAGACAGAAGGGAATTGTCTGCCATAAAATCATACTTTTCCATACCACCTGTTTTATAACACAGTTTTGGTTTTCTCATCCAAAACTGTGTTCCACAGGTGATATTGCTTGTGTGAGATCAAGCTTATTTCCAAGGAGATATCATTTTGATAGTAGATTTTGTACAATGCCCTGACAATGCTATGATGTCATGAACTTGATGACATCACAATGTTCTGACATCACTGCACTGCAAGTCTAATGGCAGTACCCTGTTCAGAGATGAACATTTTTCATTGAAAACTAAAGAAGAGTGATTTTGATGATAAATAGAACATCACCCTCGTGTCTTCTGATATCAAACATAACACTCTATAAAACTCCTCAGCAAGCCTCAGACATTTTTAACTTTATCAACTCGTGGTGATATATTTGATATCAAAAGACACTTGGGTGAGATTCTCTATATGCCAACTATTGGATATTGTCTGCTACACACACCCACAGACTGGGTCCACACACCCCTCAGTGACCATGGTGGGCAGTCAGTGGGGGAAAGTCATACACCTTCAACTGACAGTGTATAGTTTGCCAGTCAGGAAACTGGAAACACTTGAAGTCTTATGTGTACCTCTCCATGCAAACCATATATAAGTACATGAAGTATATGAAACTGGATGTGGGCTTACTACCCATGTCAACATGTGAAGAAATACATCCAGTGGTAACTGACACAGTTCTTGTGCCTGGTGTCTTCACACACGTATTTGTCCAGGACTGCCTCTGACACATGGCAGAATACCATGCAAGTCTGGTGTTTTGTGGGTTGACAGTGACAACCTCCTCAGCTGTTGGATGACATCACACTGGTGACAGCGTTCTGCCTCGTTAATCTCGCATAAGCAAACAATCACACAAACTTTCTATCGATTTCCCCCCAGATAAACTAGATCCTGATTGTGCCAACGTGTTATGCTTATCGAATATAGACTGCCCCGTCGGTCCGAGGCACATGTTAGTGTTATTTCTAGGACTCCAATGTCATCACAATTCCTTTAGTAGCATCTTCTCACATATCAATACATTCAGAACATCGGTCAGAAGGAATTCTTTAACATCCCAATCTAGGCACTGGCCGAGAAGCTTATTATTACATCTAGATCGAGAGTTGTTGGTTACCTGGCAGAACAGTTCGTGACTGGCTCCCCTAAAACCGAATATCCCGAATAGTCTTCATTTGTTGTTATAACTGAAAATCTTCAGCTTTGAGTCAACGATGACAGCGATCAACAATCAGCAGGAACTCAACTTGCGCATGCGTTTGAAAGAGTTATCCCCCCTTCTTCAGCAGGTGCCCGTTCTCTCGGGTATTAGCGGGAAAATCCGGTAATTTCCGCCGCTTACTTGTCTTGTGATGGAAAATCGTCCCATTACCGTGTACCAGTTGATATGGGAAGACAATTATTTCATATTTTTGAAAGAAGAAAGCCAGCAAATACTGATTGTCTGCTAAATACATGATTGTTGTTTTAATTTGTTTGACTCAACTACGCGAAAGAAGCAAGTTGTTACCCAATTATAAATATACGCTTGCTACTCGGCGTTGCATTGACATGCATTGCATTCAAACCATATTGCATTTCAAACTGCGTTGTCAATAGCAATGATTGCAGATATAGTTTCGAAAGGATTGGCCATATATCGATTGTGATACACGGCTATTTTTACGTATACAAAACACATTATTATAACTGACAATACAGACAATCAGATAAGCTCCCATTTACATGTGTATTGCCAGGTGGGAAGATAACGGTACAGGTGGATCCCGCGCTGACAGACGGATCATATCCTCATCTGCCTGACGCAATTAGCACCGACCAAGGTGTCACTGCAGACCTCCGATAATGAACTGAATTGTTCACTGGAGTGTTGAGTGGATGAATACAATATTGTACTGGCCTGAGTGGAGGGTGTTTACAAGGACTGTACACTCCCTGAATGACAATTTAGTAAAATTACGATGATTTAGAAAGTGAAGATTGTCTCAACTCTAGGCAGACTGCAAGGGCTGCTCTGAGCTCCATGTTTTATATATTTGTTAAATAACATAACTTTATTATGGGACTAAATATCAGTCTAGCAAACCCGTCACTGTTTGGCTTACATTTGGAACAAATCCGCCAGGCTATTTTCATTCACCCTGTGACCTCAAAGCATCGCCGAGTGTGACAACACCAATGTATGTCATACTGATATTGTTTATTGAGCTGCTACACCTCCTGTCTTACAGGGCGTGACACCCCCTCTCCCGAGAACAGGTATGGCAGGAAAACTAATCCAACGAATTACCACATGCTATGTCGTTATTTTCAAAATCATTACATTTACATCCCTTTATACCATGACCTATCCTACGATTGAATGAGCTCCGATCTTAACACGTGGAGCACATCTGGGACATGATTGGTCGTCGTGAGCAACAAAGGGGTCCTCCTGTACAGAACCCGGCTCAGTTGGAAGCTGCTTGACACGAGGAATGGTGTACCCTCCCACTTCAGAGGATCAGGAGGCTGTCAGGGGGTACGAGGAGGAATGTGCTGTCTGTCATACAGGCACACTCGGTATTGACTTTGAATCGTGTAAGACACGCAAAATGACATTTGGAATGTTCACATTCACCAAAAAATTCAACGTTAAACATTCCAGGCCCATGCTTGTACGGACATGGTTTTGTATCAAAATCAGTGTGTTTTTGAAATGAGCAATTATCATAATAAAATCAACATGGATTCCAATCATTTTGTCGTTTTGTATGAGTCAAAGGATCATACGGGTAAGAAAATATTTTGTTTTTCCATCGTGGTCACCACGAGAAGGTTTATGTTAAAAACATATCATTGCAAAAATACATGGGGTGCTTAGTTAAGTTCTTTAATTGTGTGTGTATATATACGAAGGAATTATATCATTATACACTCTCTGAACTTTAATCACATTGTCATTGTTAATTGTACCATGTCATAGTTTCTTTAAGTGGTATTTAGAAGCTGGTTTGACGAAGACGAACACTTTCTATGGATTGACAACGTCTGTATTGCAGTAGATGCGACGTATCGGTGTTTATGCTGACACTAAGTTGATCCAGTTAAGGAGGTTGATGCCAATTCCGACCAAACCCAAACTCTTCTTAATCGTACTATCCTTTGGAACACCCAAACCCTTGAAGCCAAACGGCAAGATCAGGAACTCTTCATGGCAATCAACATCACACTACTCAACCCGATAATCAACAGATATCAAGGGTATCACATCTCCACAATTGGGAACCGATGACATATGTCAACCAAGTCAGCGAGCCTGATCATGACCACCCGATCCCGTTAGTCGCCTCTTACGACAAGCATGGGTTACTGAAGGTACATTCTAACCCGGACCTTCACGGGTCCCCGACTTCCAGAAGCTCATGAAGTCCCCTGCAGTTAAACCAACCACGGAAGATAACACCCGGGTAATCATACAGTGTCGGGAACAACCTTGCATTAAGGTTTGTTGACACTGCAGGAACAACCATGAATTAGGGTTTGTTGACATCGCAGGAACATCCATGCATTAAGGTTCATTGACACCACAGGAACAACCATGCATTAAGGTTTGTTGACACTGCAGGAACAACCATGCATTAAGGTTTGATGACATCGCAGGAACAACCATGCATTAAGGTTTGATGACACCGCAGGAACAACCATGCATTAAGGTTCATTGACACTACAGGAACAACCATGCATTAAGGTTTGTTGACATCGCAGGAACAACCATGCATTAAGGTTTGTTGACACTGCAGGAACAACCATGAAGGTTTGTTGACACCGCAGGAACAACCATGCGTTAAGGTTTGTTGACACCGCAGGAACAACCATGCGTTAAGGTTTGTTGACACCGCAGGAACAACCATGCGTTAAGGTTTGTTGACACTGCAGGAACAACCATGCGTTAAGGTTTTTGTTGACACCATTAAGGTTTGTTGCAGCAGGAACAACCATGCATTAAGGTTTGTTGACACCGCAGGAACAACCATGCATTAAGGTTTCTTGACACCGCAGGAACAACCATGCGTTAAGGTTTGTTGACATCGCAGGAACAACCACGCATTAAGGTTTGTTGACACTGCAGGAACAACCACGCATTAAGGTTTGTTGACACTGCAGGAACAACCATGCATGAAGGTTTGTTGACACCGCAGGAACAACCATGTATGAAGGTTTGTTGACACCGCAGGAACAACCATGCATTAAGGTTTGTTGACACTGCAGGAACAACCAGGCATGAAGGTTTGTTGACACCGCAGGAACAACCATGCATTAAGGTTTGTTGACACCGCAGGAACAACCATGTATGAAGGTTTGTTGACACCGCAGGAACAACCATGTATGAAGGTTTGTTGACACCGCAGGAACAACCATGTATGAAGGTTTGTTGACACCGCAGGAACAACCATGCATTAAGGTTTGCTGACACTGCAGGAACAACCAGGTATGAAGGTTTGTGACACCGCAGGAACAACCATGCATTAAGGTTTGTTGACACCGCAGGAACAACCATGTATGAAGGTTTGTTGACACTGCAGGAACAACCATGTATGAAGGTTTGTTGACACCGCAGGAACAACCATGTATGAAGGTTTGTTGACACCGCAGGAACAACCATGTATGAAGGTTTGTTGACACCGCAGGAACAACCATGTATGAAGGTTTGTTGACACCGCAGGAACAACCATGTATGAAGGTTTGTTGACACCGCAGGAACAACCATGTATGAAGGTTTGTTGACACCGCAGGAACAACCATGTATGAAGGTTTGCTGACACTGCAGGAACAACCATGTGTTAAGGTTTGTTGACGTCGCAGGAACAACCATCAAGGTTTGATGACACTGTATGATGTGTATGTCGACATGTGGAAGGCCATCGATTGCCACACCATCAAACTGTATCGACCTTCACATGAAATAGACTTTCAACCGAGATTAAACACATCGCGGTTCTGTGTTCCACCGCATAAACAGCTGCTAATTGGAGGCTGAATACACCCTCAGGAGATTGTCGTAATACCTGTATTGGCAAACATTTTACATGTGTCCTCTCGTAAAAAAACAATGTCCATGTAAAATACTTGCAGGTTCTGGCACTGAGCTGTGTGCAACTGCGAGTGAGTGAGTGAATGCCAGGGTGGGTGAGTGAGTGAGTGTCAGGGTGAGTGAGTGAGTGAGTGTCAGGGTGGGTGAGTGAGTGAGTGTCAGGGTGGGTGAGTAAGTGTCAGGGTGGGTGAGTGAGTGAGTGCCAGGGTGGGTGAGTGAGTGAGTGTCAGGGTGAGTGAGTGAGTGAGTGAGTGTCAGGGTGGGTGAGTGAGTGAGTGTCAGGGTGAGTGAGTGAGTGTCAGGGTGGGTAAGTAAGTGTCAGGGTGGGTGAGTGAATGAGTGAGACTCACGGTGAGTGCGTGAGTGAGTGAGTGCTGGTATGCAGCGTTAGATTGATACCATAATTTTAAGAAGGAGAGGTGAGCGTCTAATTGTTCTAGCCTGGTCTTTTTGATGGCGTTAGATCACTGAGCTACCTTCAGCAGTTTACCATGGACACACCATTCAGACACGTTATACTGACTCCGATCCAACAATATCCCTCAATGCCGAGCACCAGGCAAGGCAGCAAAAAAGACCATCTTTTTAAGATGTTTGGGATATGACTCGGCTGGAGCTGGACCGCCCGGCAGACATACGCTATATACCACGGAGTTGACATGTACCGGGAGATCCCATACTGAGGACAGGTATGACGCTGAGCAGCCAAGGATACTGAATGAAACTGGCAGTTAATACTAGGAATCAGGCTGAATGTGACGGACGAAAGTCAGGCGACACGATTTTCACGCAAACGAAAGGTTCACAAATGAAATTATTCTCCAGTAGTCTACGAAAATAAATAAATTTGCCTTGATAGAAAGTTTGAAATGTCAAACAGTTTCAGCGTCAGGATACGGTGGTGAAGTTATTGGATAGGAATACGTCTTTCGGAAATTATTCAGATGACTTCCGAGTTCACGTGGAAGTAGACAATGAGATCCGCTTCCCCCCATCTTTTTCTTGTTGTAACTGAAAACCTTGGCTGTCTGATGAGATGCAATGATATCCAAGGAATTGTCATTGACAATAATGAGTATTAATAACTGAACCAGTATACTGATAACATTAAATTGATTCTTGATGGTACCGATAAAAGGTTATAGTATTTATTGATTCAATAAATGATTGTTTTCTCACAAATGTCAGGACAAACACAGATAAAACAAAAGCATCTTGGATTACTTCGAAGGCAAACTGCTATGATATACTTTGTAT